TCCATGCATTCCCCTTACAAAGTCACTCTGGAGTATCCACTTTCTAAAGTAGCTGCCCACACAGAATTCTCTGTCTCTACGGCAGCTGTTTTTCCGTGTCAATGGAACAGGACAGTATCCGAGGGTTGTTCTGATCCAGTGCTGGGTTCAAATTACAGCTGGATTTCCAAGTTCTATTACCTGGGTGACAGTCTTAGTTCTGCACCCAATCTTCCGAATGACTCAATGTCCGCGGGCTTCCATTTCCTCATCTATACCGTGAGGATAATACTGCTTACCTTGCACGGCTTGGGGAGTTGACTGAAATATGCGTGAGTCTGGGATGCCATGCTCATAATCAGAGGAACTGGTGCTTGAGTGTCCCCCTCCCGTCTTTAATGCTCCAACTGACCATCGATTCACACATGGCTTTATCATGGAATTCCAATGGCCCATGTTTCCAGCCAAACTGGTTTCTAAGGGGCTGGATTTATCCCACATTACTCAGCCCAGGGACTCAGAATAGAGTTCAACCAGTATTAGTGGAATTAGGAACAAGTAGAGTTATAAACCTGAAGAACAACTGATGAGTTCAAAGGAAGAGAGGATCAGAGTTTTTTTTTAAATTAGATTTTTTTCAAGTCATATCCTCCCAGATTACCATTAATAGTACCCTCTTCAAAAATAAGCTATGTCTCTATTTCATGTACAGAAAATACAAGAGAGAGAAAGAGTGGGGAGAGGGAAAGGAGGGAGGGAGGAAGACAGGAAGGAAGCGGGGAAGGGAGGAAACCCACCACTAAACTCCTGGGAGCTTCCTGCGTCAAACAGCTGCCTCTGACCGCCCGTCCTAAGCAGAATGCTTGTAGAAAACAAACCAATTTCACTACTAACTACTCCTAAGGATAATTAAGAAGGAAAATGTGACTTGGGAAAAGAGGGAGGACAGAATCTCTCACTTCCACAGCTAAGGAGAAAGGACATTTGAATTGTCTGTCATTTCGATATTACCAGTGTTAGGAATACATTCCAGTGATGAAACAAACAGAAAGCTGACGGTGTCTCTTTCCTAGGTTCCTGCGCAGATCATGATCAGACGCTCTATTTACTGAGCACCTACTACGTGTTCACAGCTCAGCAGTCTGGAAACTAATTCAGATCAGCTTAGCCCCAATGGGATAAAGTTTGAGCCATGCATGATAAAGCTTGAATTAAACGCTTATTTAGAAGGAGGGAACAAGCAAGCCGCCTGAAAAGGAAGGGAAAGGGCACTGGACCTCATTCCGGGAGGGACGTCTCGACCTCCCCTCAAAGGAAGTCTTCTATGTGGACCCAGGTGCTGCTTGGGGGGGTCTGGCAGGGCGGTGGGGGATAAAAGGCTTTCTGGAGGCCCTCTGACCCCAGCCGTCCCACGGGAAATGAGCGAGGAGGCTGCTGGCAGGCAGACAAGCAGGTGTGCCCTTAAGAAGCCATGGAGATTAGCTGGGGCTTATCCAAACCTCCGCAGGAGGCAAATCTCTCCTGCTTCTCAGGAGACCCCGGTGCTCCTCTGGCATCAAATAAGCCAGATGCAGACTGGACGTCAACTTGGCCCTTTGTGAACCCAGGGCCCCAGCGCGGGAATCTGGACACCATCACACTCACCAGGGCCCCCAGTGAGAACGAGTTTTTGAAGCATATGTTTAGAAAAAAAGGAAGAGAGAGAAAAAGAGATGACTGCAAGGCAGGATCACGGGCAGATGAACCTCACTTGTGCTTGGCCCTTTGTATGGGGGATCATTTTTGCCCCCCAAAATTTGACCAAGAGTTTCTTCTTTTGCCAGAAAATATGACTTTTGGGGAAAATAGGTGGTATCTGCTCTCCAGTAAAAGTAAAAGCCAGAAGACACAAGGGTTGAGAGTTCCCCTTCTCAGGAGCCCCAAGGGAAGCACATTAGCAACACGACCAGAGGAAGGAGCGGGGAAGGGGGCCCCCGGTCAGTGCAGAAAATGCCCGCTTTATTCTGTGTCCAGGTCTACCGATGTGGGGAAGGCACTGGCTTTAGACACACTGGAAGCAGCAGACGTGCAGTGGAATCCCAATTCTGCCATGTCTAAGCTGTGCGACTGTGAGCAAGTCCTTTAGCCTCGCCAAGCACCGATTTTCCCATCCTTAGAGGAGTCGAAC